TCTTTCCCTGCCCGACCCTCTGCTTCCCTTTAGGAATCTCACTTATCATTGAGAGTGCTATCACAGGCCTCCAAGGCCTCACTGTGAGTATGCACTCATTGACCAGTGCAATCACCCTCTCCCTAGGAGCTGATGGTCTGAAGATCAGAACAGGCACAAAAATGTCCAATCCTCAACTTCATCGTAAACCCCTTCAGGTTACAAGAGATAGAGAGTATCTTCACCAGGAAGTCTGCACTTCTGTGACCAGAGCCTTTAGCTGGTCCTGGGGTGGCATTTTGGGGCAGTGGTGGTGAGGAGGGGTTTAAGGCAATGGGGTAGCAGGAAGGGTGGCAGCTGGGACCTGGAGAGACAGTGGGGTGGTCACAGGGGCCTCCTGTGGGAGGGCCTCTTTCTCCACATGATTTCCTTCAGTGGCCATTTGACTAGGATACTGGTGGGTATGATTTATACATTAAACCAGTCCAGAAGTGTGCTTGTCCCAAGACACCTCCTATCACCCCAAACCCATAAACAAAACCTACAGCTGAGAAATCTTCCAATTCCCAGCAGCCACCACTTGCAGGTTACTTGGAAGGAAGAGCACACCACCAGGGTGGACACCTGGAGGCTGAGTTGGGGTGGTAGGATCCTGGAGGGGCTAATACTGAAAGGGGTTCCCTGCTGCAGTGCACTGTCACCACGGACACAAGTCCACTTGTTTTACACTGCTTGGCCTGCTCCTGCCATGGTCCCCCACACAACCAGCCGCAGTCAGCTGACTGGTAGGGACGCCTCACCTCCATGCTCCCACCAGTGCAAAGCTCAGCCCCTCAGTCCCAGGAGGTGGGGTGGAGGACGTCCCTTCTAGACTTAAACTCTAGCGCCCAGGGCCTTTAAGGGTTAACTTCTGGGGGTGGAGAATTCCAGGGGCTGTCTGGGAGGGAGGGGAGCTGGCCAGGCCTAGCCTCTGAGGCCCTAGAAGCCTGAAGTGGCACAGGCCGCTGGGCAGCCTCTAGGGCACACGCTGTGCACAGACCACTTCCACTTGCCCCAAACTTGAGTCAGGAGTCGGGGAAAGACGCTGAGCATTACAACGGGTCACAGCCTGTGGGGTCGCTGCTCCCCCTCTCTGGGGCCGCCCCCTCCACCCCACCAGCGCTGGCCTTTCCCTGCGGCTTAGGGAACGAAACCCTGAAACACTGCCGGCGGCAGTCCCTCTGGCACTTCATAGCCTACCTCCCGCCCCGGGATGAAGTTCGGAGACCGCGGCCCTACAGCGACTCCAGAGTCCAAACTGCCCGATGTC